AAAAAATGCGTTTGAAACAAATATGTAATGGTATATACCTATTTTAAATAAATTGTTGATACCGTATTTTCTTACAAATTGAAAAATTATAATATAGTTATAAATACATCATAACCCTTTGTTGAGAATCGTGAATTTTTTGTTCATTTGAGATATTTTTAGTTAAAAAAAAAAAAAAAAGAATATCTGCATTCAAAATTGACACATTCTATAATTTATTTGAAAAATTATGTTCAATTACCTTTAGTTAGCTGAATTTTATCTGTTACTATACATACTTACAATTTTAGACGAGATTATACTTTTATCTCTTTTACTAATCTTTCAATTATAATTTTGTTATTATGAATATATCTAATTTAAAAGACATCTTAAGCAATAAATATTCATCTATTTGACAATAGTCTTAGCCTTATTTTTTTTACATGTTATAATACATTGTTCTATTATGTACTAGTTTTTATCCTTATATTTCAGTTTATAAGTTTTCGTTACTTTTTTAAAATTGTCTTTTTCCATAAAAATATTATTGAAAAAAGTTGCTTAACTTTACTTTAATAAAAGGAACATTGTGACTAAAATATGTAGTACATAATTTATAGATTTATATTATAATAAAATAAAATTTGATATTTGTTAACAATACTATTTCTAATAAATTTATTATCGTGTTCAAATATCTTAATTCTAGCATTTAATTCTAAATATGAATAAAAATAATAAAAATAAAATTATTAAATGGTTTTTATATTTAATATTGCTTTTATGTCCATAAATTCCTTTGCAATATGCATTTTTTCTTTTCTTTCATGTTATATTATGTTCTTTTCTTTGTTATAATTTTTTCTCATCTGTCTTACTTGATACTCTATTTTTTCGAAAAAGCATTTGTGCAGTTTTATGTCATGTTATTTGTTTCACGTAAATTTTACATTTTAAATTATATCAACTTTGTTTATTATGACATGTAGTATAATAGAAGTGTAACAAATTAATATTATAATATTTTATAGTTAATGTTATATGTTGTGAAATTGGGGATAGGAAAAATTGCACTATTCGTCCACTAACTATACCCTCGTTGCACTTTCGTCCTGTAATTGTTTTCGATTTACAATTGGTACACTAACTTTTTTTTTTTGGTAATTTTAGTCCAAAATGACATTCCGGTGCTCATTTTCGCCGGAATAGCTGATGTGGCGCCCAGTCAGATCGGAATTTCCATTCTCGGCGTGATGTGGCACGAGGTGGCGCCTAGTCAGATCGAAAAAATTGCACTATCCGTCCACTAACTTTACATTCGTTGCACTTTCGTCCTTTAATTGTTCCGGTTTACAAAATCAGAAAAGAATATTAAAAAAATCAAGAGAAAAATAAAAATCTTTAAAAAGAAAAAGAAAAAATCAAAAGAAAAAGGAAAAAATATATATTTTTATTTAATAAGAATTATTTTTAATTTAATAAAAAATGAAATATTTAATGATTAAATAAAAACGAAATAAATTTATAATGAGTGATAAATATTTTTTATTTAATGATTAAGTATGTAATACAAAAACAAAATATTTAATAAAACAAAAAATATTTTTTTATTAAATATTTAATTTTTCATTAAATATTTAACCATTAAATAAAAAATATTTATTAAATATTTATTTCGTTTTATATTTATTTTTTATTGAATATTTTTTATTTTTTTATTTAAATAAAAAATAATTTTTCATTAAACAAAAAAATGATAAATATTTCTATTTTTATTATATTTAACCATGAAATAAAAAATATGTATTTCTCATTAAACATTTATTTTGTTTTTTTATTTTGGTTTTTATTAATTATTTCGTTTTTTAATTAAATAAAAAAATGTATTTTTATTTAAAAAAAAAAGATAATTTTTTTATGTTGTTTAAAATCATTAAACAAAATGATTTTTTTTATTAATTAATATATTTTTTTTTGGTTAATTTTTTTATCCACACGTCCTTTCATTTTTTTTTTAAACTTTTTCTTTTGATTTTCTTAATATTTTTTTTTTCTTCTAAATTTGTAAATCAGAAACAATTAAAGGACGAAAGTGCAACGAATATAAAGTTAGTGGACCAATAGTGCAATTTTTTTGATCTAACTAGGCGCCACCTCGTGCCACATCACGCCGAGAATGGAATTCCGATCTGACTGGGCGCCACATCAGCCATTCCGGCGAAAATGAGCACCGGAATGTCATTTTGGACTAAAATTACCAAAAAAAAAGTTAGTGTACCAATTGTAAACCGGAAACAATTAAAGAACGAAAGTGCAACGAGAATATAGTTAGTGGACGAATAGTGCAATTTTTCCTTGGAGAGACGTTTGCAAACCGAAGGATGGGGATATTACTTCACTATTTTTTTTTTTTATTTGTTCCACATACTATTTTGGAATATGTACTAATGCAATTGAATATGTAGCGCCTCAATTGAATATAGAGACATCTCAATTATTTATTTTAATTATGTTGTTAGTTGCGTTTATTTTTCTATGCTCGACAAGTTCATCCGAATTAATTAGACGTTAGTGTCTATTTAATCCGTTAAGAGGAATATTTATTAGACGTTAGTGTCTTTTCAAATTATTCGAATTATCGAATATTCGTTAGCTATTCGATTCTATTTGATTTATTTATCTTAGTAGGCGTTGAAGCCGTTTTGTTATCTCCCCAAGAAACAAGAAAATTAAAACACCTCACTCTTACCTGCAATCAGAATTCAGCAGAAGTAAACATATCTCCTTTACCCTCTTTGTCTCGTTCGATCAGAGAAAGGGCCGAATAAAACTAATCAAAATATTTTCCTTTAGCCCATCGGAAATTTTTAGCCACCGGCCCTTAAGCCCTTCAGCCGTTCAGCAGCCTTCTCTTCTTCACCGGAAAGTCCTTTTAGCCGCAGCGAGCAACCTCCTCGTCGTTCTACGAGCAGCCTGCCGTCGCTGTTTCAAGCCGGCGACCCTCGAGCATCGCCGCCGAACGGCACCGTCATAGGCCTTCGTCCAGTAGCGGGCAGTAGCGACGAGTGCCGTCAACCTGAGCCCCGTTTCACCTGCGGACGGGCGCTAGGAGCATGCAGGGACATCGGGCGCGTGCGTTGCAGCAGTCCTAGACCGAGGCAGACTGGGACACGGGCGTCTGGGAACATGCGGGCATGCGCTGCATGTTTCCTTGTCGCGCGTGTACCTCTCGCGCAGGGGAGCGGGACGCGACGATCACGCGCAGCGGTGGTACGCAGCGTGAAGGGACGGCGTGCGGGCGAACAATCAGAAATAATTGTTAGCCACAAAATCCAGATCTCGCAGGAAAAAAAAACAAGTAATTTTAAGACCTCCAAATTTTAAACCCTATGGATTTGTACAGTGCAGCTTATATGTGTTGGTCTACAATCTTTTATAATATAAATAGCTGTTGCAAGTTGCAAACAGTGACACTTGTGCCATACCCATATTTGAAAATAGGTTCTGTTTCTTTAAGATGAAAAAAAAGTTTAACAAAGACAAGTTACTTCAAACAAAGTATACACGCGTGATAGAGAGTGATGATTATAAGAGTTGGTCAATTGTCAGTTTATGACAATGAGAACAGCCGACACCACCTGCCGCTTCCCGTCTGACCAAACTATCTTCCCCTCCACAGTAACAACATCTGTGGGCAATTTTGTTGCGGTTATAGTCACGTTGTAACTTTGCTTTTCGCCCTTGCTTGTAAAATCCATTCTCATTGGATTAACTGTCAGATTCACCCCTTTTGGATTGGTGACCGTCACGGTGTAAGTAGCATCATCTTCACCGACATTTGTCACGGTCCTTTTAACCGTGATCATATCACGATTCGTATGACTAAATGAGTGCGAAGCAATAGAGATGGCTGGATAATTCAGATCCCACGGCATGATGGCATTGCATTTGTAGTCATGGTGGGTTATATTTCGGATGTCATGAATTGTAACGCACAGGAAATCCACATAATCTTGCGGGGTGATATCGTAGACTAATCCTGGATCATGGGCTTTACCAGGGTCAATGTGACCTGCACCCATATCGGAGGTCGTGGACTCTGTCCCATCATTATTGTTGATTATCGGCTTGCGATCGTTGGCTTGGGTGTAAGCGGTGGTCATGATGGCGGAGCGGATCATGGCTGGGGACCACTCGGGGTGGGCTCCCTTCAAGAGAGCAGACAACCCGGACACGTGCGGGCAGGCCATGGATGTGCCTGATAGAAGTTTGAACTCGACGCCCTCTGGCCATGCCGCAAGGATGTTGAGACCTGGCGCCAGCACGTCGGGCTTCATAACATATGGTGAAAGAGGATTAGGGCCTCTGGAGGAGAAAGAAGCTACCGCTGGAGCTGGCTCGATCCCGAGTTCCACACCGCGGAATTCCATCGTGGCTTTTATGACCGTGTTTGTTTTCGCCGTGATAAGGTCATGGATCTTTTTTCCGTCGGACTCGGTTATGACGAGCCCAGGGATCGTAAAATGTTTGGCTATTAGGTCTTGGCCGCCCGGGGCTATGTTGGCTGCCACCACACCAGCAACTCCGGCTTGTGTTACAATCTCCACTAGCTTGGCATCATTGCTAGCTTCACCCGTGTAGCAGACCACAATCTTCCCGGAAAAACTCTCGTCCAACGACCCACATTCTCCTCCGTCTGCGAGGGGCAGAAAAGACGTGGGATCCATGGGGGGCCCACTATAAAGCGAAGCCCCGTGCATGCGCGTCCCGTTTTCGAGCACAAGATCAGCCGAGAACACACGGTCGATTGTGCCGGCAGCGACACTCGTCAACCATGGGGCAACATTGGACAAACTGTATTCAGAAGGGCCGTTGTTCCCGGCGGATGCAATGACCGAAATGCCGTTCTCCATGGCACCAAATGCCCCGATCGCGATGGGGTCTTTGTCATACGAATGACTACCGAATGGCGACCCGAGGGAGATGGAGATTATGTCGACCCCATCAGCCACCGCCTTGTCGAAACCCGCGAGAACGTCCGAACTGGCACAGTCAACATCGCATACTTTGTACGATGCAATCCGTGCCTTGGGCGCAACTCCGACGGCCGTGCCGCTTGCGTTTTCGGAATAAAACACGTTCTTGACCGCCCTTCCTGCAGCCGTGGATGCCGTGTGCGTGCCGTGAGTGGCGACTGTTCCGTCAATAATGTACCTAACACCAACGAGTTTGTTGTTGCACCGAAACCCTTCCACATTGCACTCGCCTTTCCATTTGCTGTTGGCTGGGAGGGGTTTGAGGCCCTCGTCGTTGAAACTAGGGTGCTCGGGCTTGATACCGCTGTCGAGGAATCCGATGATCACGTTCGAGCCGTAATCAGAGTCGGTCAACAAAGGGCGAGCCACGGTATTGTTGGTATCCCCATATAAGCCTAGGAAATAAGGGGACTGTTAGTTTTTTGATTAATTGTTGTCCCACATTGGATGTATACCAAAGATGTGTAGGATCTTATTAGTATAAATAGGTCCCTTGCCTTTGGGTTACAATTGCACCTTATTCTATTCTCTCCTATTTAGAAGGAAATCCTTAATTAAGGAAATCCTATTTTGTGGGTTATTTAACCCTAGTTGTATTTTGTTGGTGAGTTTAGTAAATTTGGCGTTGCGGTTGGCGGTGCCCGGAGACGTAGGCTATTTTCGCCGAACTCCGTTATCAATTTTTGTGTTCTTTTTATTTCTCGTCTTTTATTTGTGTTGGCTTATTTTGGAGTAGTACTTGCCATATTTGTTGGAGGGGTATTTTTGTCCGCTGTGCTTGTTGTGATACCCCAACAGGGACCGGGTCGTGTGTAACT